GAGAGTGAATGCTGTTTTGTACACTCCAACTCAGTGTAATTCAGTTCTTTTATGATTTCTTTTTCATCAAGAAGCTGAGAATATTTTTTAGACAAAGCTATAAAACAGAATAAAAACAATTCATTTTTCTGGTAGGGCTAAGACTTGACTTTTTACTTTCACTTTGTTACATTCTTCGTAGAAACGAAATGTATAAATGTCCAATTATCCGCGTAGATAAAGCCATCCTGGGAAAGATTCCCCATCCCCACAGAGTGTGGTGGCTTTGGCCCTAGCACTTGAGAATTAGAATAAGATATAGAATAAGAATAAGAATCAGGTCATCCTTAACTATACAAGTTAGTAGAGTTGCTTGGTTGGTTGGTTTTACTAGTTGGTTGGTTAGTTAGTTAGTTAGTTAGTTTGGCTTAGTTAGTTGGTTGATTGGTTGGTTTAGTTAGTTAATTAGTTAGTTAGTTCATTGCTAGTCTGGGCTACATGAGACCCTACCACAATAAAGACAATTTTCCATTACTCCACAGTCAAGATTACCCTACTCCTAGTGATTTATGACCACAGATATTTTCAGGAAGAGCTGGAAGGACAGGACAGAACCATGACCCTGGGGTATCTTCAACAATTAATGGAGGGTACAATAAAGACTACATCTTAGGTGATAAATTCTATTCAGTATGTGAGCACCCCAGGAAAGGTGAGGGAAAAATGAGCTAATTCAGAGCAGTTCCAGGTTACCTGAGCACAGAAATAAAAGCCCAACACTGATCAAAAGGACTTTGTTTTCATCCTCTTATTTCCAGTATCTCCCTCCATCCCAGCTAGTTCTGACTTCTCAGGGTCCCCACACTTTCACAGAGTTCCTAACTAAAAACTAACACACCTTTCCTCGAGAAATTGAAGTTTTTTTCTTCTCTTCCTCATCTCCCACTTGTTCCTGGAGTCACTAGATTCTGGCTTTCCCTTCTGCCCATTTACCAAACATTCCTGAACTACATGTCAATGGCTCCTCATGTCCACTGATCAGTCATCTTCCTGTGGGACTTCTCACATCACCCTGCCCACCTCTCTTCCTCCTTAATTGTTGGGAGACATGGCTCCCTCTGGTTTTGCCTGGTCCTGTTTGCTGCTGTTTCCTGTGCTCTTTCCTACCTGTTTCCTTCTACACCCACCTCTCTTAAAATGAAACTTAGCATCCAGTTCCTTCTGTATCTCTCTTTCTCCCCCAAATTCCTCTTCTTTAGTGATATTCATTGTCCTGGGTTGTTGGGGAGGGGGTGGGGAATAGAAGTGGTTGTTTTTTTAGTCTATTTTGTTATCTGCTAAAAAGATCTTCTAAAATGTATTCCTCTATCTTAAACATGTTAATATGCATCCAACTAAACTGTGCAACTGAGA